GTTTTTATTGTTATTATTATTATTGTTGTGTGCGTACGGGTTTGTTATGAATTGAATGCACAAGTGCGATGAAAAATGAAATAATCTTATTTCATTTTTCTCATCGAACTTGTGCATTATTATTATTATCATAAATTAATATTATTTATTATTATCACAAATAAATAAAACAAAATACTTAAATTTTCTCAGATATTCGTACAGTATTACAATATCTCACAGTAGTTATCTTTTAACTACTCAAACGTTCAACAGAACTTAATTCAAAACAGCTAAAGAAAGCTAATCCGCGAATTAGCTACAGTCAACAAGAGCTTCACGACGAGAGTTCCATATAAAAACCAAGTTGCAACGCCTTCGCCGGGAATCGAACCACGGACCTCTCAATTACGCGCTGAGCATGCAGACCACTACACCACAATGGCTCGGTAAGAAGGCGGAAGAAATACCTTATATACTCCCCCTTTTAAAGTGCGACTGGGGTTTTTTAGGGGACCCAATCGCCAAATCCTGGGTAAGGAGATTCATCAAGTTTTTTTTTTTTTTTTTTTTTTTTTTTTTTTTTTTTTTTTTAAAGCAGGCAAGATGAAAAATATGCAACGCCTTTGCCGAGAATCCAACTGCGGACCTCTCAGTTACGCGCTGAGCGTCCAGACCACTGCACCACGAAGGTTCGCTAAGAGAAATAACTTATTTCTCTCAGTATTGGTAAAATAAAGGATTATAATTCCTACATCTGATAGTATTCTTTGTGCGAAAGAGAAAAGTTATTCCGTTACTTTTTAAGAAAACTGCATTTTAGATTAATTAAATACGCCAAGTTTTATATTGGAAATAGAAGTCTCAAAATGGGGGGAATATCCAGTTCACTCCGAACCAAATCGTATGGTATATGAATGTCCTCAAAGAAAAGGGAATAGAAAATTTTACAGATTTCTATTCCCTTTTCTTTGAGGGAAATCCAAAGTAAAGGTGGAGCTGCATTTATAGCTTCCAAAGTAAAGGTGGAGCTGCATTTATAGCTTACCAGATAAGCAAGTTCTAATAAGTCAAAAATTCAGACTAAATGCTTCAAGCCAGTTTACCAAACAGAAGCAATAGCTTTAAAGGAAGGCTTTTATAGCTAAATGACTTTCTCAAAAATAATAAGCCTCAGTATATGATCATTTATTTATACAGACAAGCCAAAGCATTTTAAAGATTTTATGTTCTACGAAGAAATCATCTTTACTTATACAAGCAGTTCAAGGAATAATAAATATAGAAATGAACATTCGTCCCATTAGCCTAAACTGGTTAGTTGACACACAGGTATAACAGGGAATGAAGCTGCTAACAGAGCGGCTAAGGAGGCCACGTCAAGAAATATGATTGCTATTCATCTTCCTGCTTCAAGACCTACAATCAAGAAAAAATAAATTTCTAAACAATTCTTAGTAAAAAGGCAAACGCGATGAAATGAGGCAGGTACATGAAAATTAGCCCACGGATATTTCCCACAAATAAACTGAAAAAAATAAAAGCAAATTTTATACTAGTGTAATTAGCAACAACTGGAAAGTTTCCACCTTATTTCCAGCGATTCTTCAGAAGAAATGTACAAAGTGGGTGTGGAATACCAGTACATCTATTGTTGTTGTAACTTATCTCACTTGTCTGACACTAACATCAGAACAAGCCCACGAAATTTATCTTGGTAAGGACTGCAAGATAAGGATGCTGACAAGAGCCTTGAGCACCATACAGTTGACAGTACGACTTCGCTCAATTCCGTCCCTAAGATGAAGAGCACCCTCGGAGGGAACGGTGTCCGAGGGTCTCCCACCTCTCTTTCCCTCTCACAACCTCTTGGGAGGACTTCCTGCTCGCCGCATATTTTGAGTGCTCCATGCCTTCTCCAAGATTCGAACCCGGGCCCTTCCGTACCGCAGTAGGCTCCCCTAACCACTATACCGTCTGGGCGGCTACCAGCACATCTAGCAGATGCCAAGCATATTTGGCAATGTCCGCTACTTTCAGCCATTAGAGCAAAGCATCTACCAGGATTTGCAACAAATATTCCAGCGAAAGATTTATTCTGCAACACAAAGTGGTGCTTGCATTTCAGCAAGTTATGAAATATATTATTGAAAACAAGGCACTGATTAATAATTAATCATATTAAGCTTATCATATTAAGCTTGCTCTTAAATAGTTGCTTGCAAGTAAAGCAAGCAACTATTTAAGAGCAAGTAAAAATTATGACAGGTCCTCTCTACATTTGTCAAGGAAGAGGAAGAGATTATGTCATATCTTCTTTCCACCTGTGAACCTTGTACCCAGTTTTCCTTCCTTATACTCTTACTGTATCATTTTACAGACTATAACAAAGGACCAGTGGATCCTGTTGATAATGTTAAACAATTTTTCAATCGAGTGCAGCTAGTCAATACACCCTCAGCCTTATGGCTGCATATAAGAGAACAGCAGATCAATAGTTCTGGAAATTTCTGCATGTGAATCGAAATTGCCTCTCATCAGTATCATCAATGAATGGAGAAGCTCAAAAATATAGGTAAACGGATAAATAGATTCGGGCATCCTAATGCGCATTCTGTCTCTTCCTTGTTGGCATATTCTGGGCATTTGTAAAAACATAAGTTCTCATTTTCAGTAATTTCAAATTATCCTGCACCCTAATTTTTATAAAAGCTTGTATCGCCTAATGTGTGATAAATGCCATTCCCCAAAATTCCTTTAATTTCATGCTTCAACCCGATGTCATCCAGACTCGCATTTAAAATAGTATTTGAATTTACACTGAAGATAAATTTCAACTTCGTTCTTCCTACAAAAGCAGCAAAAAAGAAAAATCGGGAACTAGCTTAATACACAAGTTTCATAAGTACTCGAAAGTTAAAAATAACTTTTTCAGCCTAAAATAAAATTTGAAGAGTTCTTAGCCTTTTCTCAGAATTACAAACAGTTCTCAGACTTTATTTTAACACAAATATATTTTCAAATAGATAAGGAAAGAAATTTCAATGCTATGCGTCTAGGGTGTATTATTCATTAAAAACTAATCTACAGAACTTTTCTCTTTACGTAGAAAGGCCCACCAGCGGCCGAGCGGTAAAGTCGCTGATCACTGGTAGTTCGGTCCGAGGTTCGAGTCCCGCGAACGGGCTGGCTGTTTTCGTGGTTTTCCCCTTGTGTAACGTGTATACGAGCCAGTTTCCCTTAGAAAGTCCTCCACGAAGGCAACCTTCCCCTTAGGCAGATAGCCCTCGAGGCTTTGCCGTAATTAAATAACCTAACCTTTAAATAGAAAGAGCATGTCTTGCAAGAATGAGGTTAGGTTAACTTGCCTAAGAGGCGAAATGTCTTCAAGGGGGATTTTTTTAAGGGAAATTGGCTCGTGGGGAAACCCAAGAGGTTTTCTCGTGTAACCAGCCTGTTCACATGGGTTTGAACCTGAGCAGTAATCTTTACCTATATTTTTTAAGAACTTTGGACCTTCCAAAATTATAGTTCGTTCTGGGTAGCATAATTTTATTTATTTTGGTATATATACGTGCGTCAAATATCTCCACCGAGGGTTTCGTCATCTTTCATTGTTTGTAATGCTATATTGAGTGCGATACCAATCAGGAAATCTATAGTTGTTCGGTATGTTTTATCTTTAAAGACAGTGGTGATGCGTTTTATTCGTTCAATGTATTCCTTGCGAGTTTGGCGAAAGACCTTTGACGCGAACGATATCCTCTGTCTTACGAATTAAATAGTTTTATTTCCAATTGGGATTTATCAAAACTTAGCGCACAGTAGTATTACACTCTAGTTGTATCAATAGAAAAACCTGGCGAATCAACTGAAGAAATCGAAAAAAACTGCCTAGAGAGAAAAATCGAGTATCTATAATGTAAAAGCCACAGAAATCGTCCACAAATTCGCTGTACAGTCGTATATTAAATATAATATGTACCAAGAAGCCCATTCAACACCTCCTTTGACTTTTAAATATTTGCGTATGTTACCAATATCTACTAAGCTTGTGAAAGGTAATTTTCAGGAATTTCAATATGTAAGAAATCGATTTCTCAATACCCTTGCATAGTCAAATTTAGAAGTATTTATATTGATGAAATGTGAAACTGATTTATTAAACCAAATGGAAAATAATGATACAGTTAATGATTTACCCAGAGCAAGTCAACTTTTTTCTAAAAAATTATATTAAAGTTCCCTTCCTTACAGAAATTTAATAACTTTTTGCAGATTTTTGTATAGCTATTTAAAACATTTAAATTGTTTTAATATATTTGATTCTTTTATTCTTTTTATTATATTTTATATGCAATACTTTATTGCATTACATATTTTCAAAATGCAACAAATTATTAAGTCGCTCGTATGTATTAATAAATAACCTTTTCTTAAATTTAAATTAAAAATTTAAATATTCTATTTATGTCACTGAAAATCACATGCATCGGATTAACATCTAGTGCCATCTTTAATTAAGTTGTTTGTATACCTGATATTTAATGCGCGTTCCAAGCAACAAGTTTTGATTTTTGTAGTTGTTTCTAATGAAAAAACCAGAATATTTTGTGAATCGCATCTCTGTAGCAAGCACTCCATTCGACAGCGCCAGATTAATGGGCAGCCGCCCGGGGCACTACAGGATTATTGGACAGTCAGTCTGTCATAAATACATAATTGGAAGAAAAACGCTCCAGTGTAGACTTTAAAATTGCAAATTTTTAAAATATCAAAAATAATTTATATAAATTTTTATGGACCGCATAAACTTTCCTGCCTGGAAATCGAGCCCTATAATTCCAATTTCCGAAATTTTTCTGTATCTTAGAGTCATATTTATTTTGATTCTGAAGATAATATTGAAAAGATCTTAAAATTTGCTATGTGAGGCTAATTAAATTGTACCTTTAATTGACAGTACAGTCGTGGCGCCATCTAGTGATACTTTATGATACTCTGTTAGAAGTTTAGCAGTTAATCAAACTGCCGAAAATGATTATAGTCTGTTCAGAAAGTAATCGAGTTTTACTTTCCCTGTAAAATCTTATTAAATATTAGAACTGAAATCGATGGAAAATAAATGGTCCATATTTATTAACAAACTCTCAAGTAATAAATAAGATCCTTTATTTTACATTTAAACTGTAGGGTAATAACTGGTAATGAAGTTTTAACATAATTATGTTAATGCTGTGAATAGTACAATTTTTGTGATTTTTATTTCACAGTTTAGTGCATACTTTATAGAGAATTGTGTATAATATTGCCAGATGAATAAATGATGTTCATTTTTATTTAGGGTGCTCGATATCGCCACCAAATGCCGTTAATATTAAACTTAGTATTTATTAACACTAAGTAATTGTGCACTATGAAAAAAATTTGAATCGAATTGATTATGCAGTCAGGCAAGTCTACCTTAGTTTTAATTTCAATGTTGAGAACCTTTTTTGAATGTAAATAACTGATATTGTGTGCGTATACCATATTTAAAATCGCATATGATTACAGAAATCGTACATATGTGGTTAGAAGACACGTAATATATTTGCTTTTATTTATCCGAGATCTGAAGTTTTATATTGGTGTAAATTGTTACTCTTATTGGCCATCCTATGGTGATAATATGCAATTAGTTAGTTAAACTATTACCTTGTACCGTATTAATAATATATACCATCCTTATTTTGGAAGGGAGGAATAAATTCAGATTTCCGTTCGTGATGTTAAATACGTTGAAGTCTGGTAAAAAATTCAACAATATGTGTTGCTCTAGAAAAGTCTGTGGAGTGTACTTATGGACCTTTATAAGGCATAAAGGTAAACATGCATAACATATTTAATTTTCGTGCTGCGTTTTCAGTGCATTTTGATTTATTTATAATCTACTCTTACTGCTATCATTTCAAGATAGTGAAAGAGAGAAAAAAACTTTTATTAGGTCTTTTCAGTTGGCTTGGATTATATGTGTTATTTTGTGACAAGAATACCAAAACAATTTATATGATGATTTTTCAAGTTTAGAAAATGGATTAACAACTTCTGTTACATATGAATATTTTTCTTGGGTCAAGGTATCACCCATGCCAGTTGAGAGAGTGTTTTTATTTTCATCATCTGTAAACATTTAATGCTGGAAACAAAAAATCAAAGTAAATAAAGAAGCTATCCAAAGAGAGAAATTTTCTGCAAATTTTTCAGTACATTCATGCAAATAATTACTGCGACAGCTTTATGTTGGCTGAACAAAAAGCATAGTGAGATTTGCACTAAGCCTTAGCAAAAGTAGCAGAATATAAATGTGTGTTAAGAGATTAAATGTACAGTATATAGTGTGACTATATACTGTACAGTATATAGGACATAAAGCATTTGTGTGAAAGAGGTGCAGATATTTTATCATATGTTATTATGTCTTTTCCGTAAATTAGGTAGCAATTTTACAATTAGGAAAATCTCTTTGTTGCTTCTAAACCATAAAAAGCCAAGTAATTAGGGAGCAAAAAAAAATTTTTTTTAAGGGAAAAAAAAAACTATGCATAAGGATTTTTTTTTAAAATTTTTATATTAAGGTTTTAAGACATTTGAAAAAAGTATGTAAAATTGTCCTATTTGTAAAAGTTAATCTGTTATTTAGAACATAATTCCAATTTTTGGAAAATCATATTACACACATTTCTGTTACTTAGAAAATGAGATAAAAATTGCACTCATCACATACTTTGGATAAATGTGCAGCATATGGCATGTGGTTGAAAACACTGAACACTAGTAATTTTATCTTGAGCGTGGTTTATGTTGCGAAAAGGGCAAGCAGCATAAAATGGAGGTAACTCCTTTGTGAGTAGGCAGGCGATCCATATATGTTATGCCGTTATGCATTATATAGTTATATTTACTGCTGGCTTATACAGCATAAGTCCACATTTTCTTGATTTAGAGAAAAATTGGCAGTACATCCTTATTCTTTCTAGTCTCTTGATCCAATCAAGTAGAACTCATAGAGTGTAAACATAAAAAACCGTGCAAATAAAAAGCATAAAATTAATCAAAATAGTTGATTAATGAACGATGGTAAAACTTACAAAAGCTTTATGAAAGAAAAATGCCATTTGTCAATTTTTTTTTTTTTTTTTACAAAAAATGCATGGCATTTTAGTTTTGCTCGAATGGCCAGACCATCTGATAGTGTTTTATATGTTCATTTATGCATTCATGGCTTGAATTTTCAATTCTTTTTATGTATGTATGGGAAATAAACGTATGCTTCAAATAAATAAGGAAATTTCTTAATTTTTAAATTTTATATTTTTTAATACCTTTTAGTAAAAGTAGTGAAAATTTGCTTCTGATAAAATTACATTTTATTACAGTCTTCATATTAAAAACAATTATTAATATTCTGTAAATGTAAATTGGAACATTTTTTTCTTCTTTCTTCTTTGAACATGAATCCTTTTGGGAACTAATATTTCATAACTTTTTAGTATGTCTTCATTCATGTTTTTGAAATAATTTTCATTACTGTACAAAATAAAATAGGTGCATTTTGAATTTCTTTAACCTAGTTTTTTAATTGTAGATTATTAGTACTGATTAACTTAATATAATTTTTGAATATCCCTCTTTCAGGTATAAATATTTTTTTTAATTATGTTTTCATAGATTTCCCTCCTTTTAAGCTTAGTACATGTAGATATTTGTATTATAAGCATTAGATGTCAGTAATATGATTTTTGTTGTTACAAAAACAAATACTTTTTCTAAAATATTATTGTGTAACATATTTCTTGTGCCTTACCAGAACAACCATTTAATATTCTGTTTTGTTCCTGTTGAATCACCTGCCACATTCTTAAAATGCTATTAATTTTTCAACTATAGTGAGAAAGTGTTTGGAATAAAAGGTATTTTAGAGACAAACTTGGCTAATTTCTGCTATTAAAATCATTATTACAACTAATGTAAGTTCAAGGCTCATATCAACATTCAGCTTTTCTGAAAACTGACTAAAAAAGAGTGTGCATAAGTTTAGTAAGATATTTAGAATAGTGAATGGACTTATTTCTTTGTCATCACAGATTTTTTTGTGGTGGCTGTAATATCACTGCACTCGAAATTTTATAAATAATATAATAAAAATACTAATATTTGTTACCACGCTGTATATTTGGAGGAAATATGCCAATCTTTCATTCTCTTCAGTTGCAGAAAATATGCCAATAAAGTGGACTATGTTCTTTCCGTCACCACATGCACACTGCTTGATCACACCCATATTTGTTCATAAGGCTGTTCAGATTCCAGTATGCCAAGACAAGTAAAAACAGTACTAATTTCACCAAAATCTAAAATTTTATGCAATAAACAACAGATGTAGACTTTTTCATACACATACATAAGATTTCTTGAATTTATTTAAAAAATTTTTAATGTTTTATGCTTTTGATCATTTTAAATAGTTTAGAAATGTAATTTTTTATCTTTACATAGCTTTACATAGGCCGTTAAACAAGAAATCTTGTTTTATAATTATTTAAGAGGAATTACTGATATGGTGATTTTCTTTATTTAATTATCATTAAATTTTTCAGGATTTAACGCATGTAAAACTATATTAAATAAAAATGCCTTCTTTCAGGGTTAGTTTTATAGCAGAGTCATCAGAACTATTCATCATAAGTTAGATTTCGAATATTATCAGGAGGTAAGCTTATTAAATTGTCTATCATTAAAATATATTAATTTATTTTATACTGCACTAAAAAAAATTGAAATGATTTTATATTGGTAATTTATTTTCTATGTTTACTTAAATGGGAGAGCCTAATTGTTCATCTGCTTATTGTTGATAAAAAAAACTTATATAAGCCTCTAAGACGTTTAATATTGCAAGGAACAGAATTTTCTTAGTTCCTACTTAAGATAACAGTGGATCTAAAAATTAGATTTAAACCATCTGCAACACTAGCTTACAAATGTAATGAAGATTTTATATATGAAAATTGTATATGGCAGTCTTTTAATAATTTTAGGTAAACAGTCAAATTATACCTCACCTCATTTCGATTCTGATAGTAATAATATACTTGCATGCATTTAAGGAAATGAAACAAGCATGCCAGTGAAATGAAAGTTGAATTTAACATGACATCTTATGTAATATTATATAGTAGAATCTTATATAATGTTCATACAGTGGTTAAAGTTCTTTGAACTAATGAAAAGAAATGCATTTTGTGCATAAGTATATCACATTATTTAAATGCATGAGGTATTGCTAGGAGCTTCTTTTTTTTTTTGGCCATGTATCTTAAAACAGCATTAATATGACATTTCTATTATAAAGGGATTATTTCAGGGATTTGTAAATTATCCCAGACCAGGAACTGTATCTAGTCAAGAAAGGAGCTGACAAAAAATTTTAGTATCACTTACTTATAATTTGATTGCTGTAACAGTAACTGTGGTGTGGTAGGGCAATTTCTTTATCATTTGTACTGCATCTTCATCATAGGAAAATGAGTTTATCAAGAAAACATAAATCTACCAGCTTTGAATTCATCATCTCTGAATGTGTATCTTTGCATTTATCCATTGTGCTGTCAAGATATAAGGGGGGTAGATTAATGATTCATCTTAAGCTACACATTGAAACTGCACATCTAAAGAGATGATTCTAAAGGGAAGTAAGCCTTTATTGGCAAGATATTATCACTTTGGCCTTTCACCTCTCTTAGGTCTCAGTTTCAGAGAACCTACAATACCTTTCTGTTATACAGGTATGATCCTTACTGTTACAATATTTGTATTTTGTAACAGTAAGGATCATAAAATAAAATCATTCATGTAAGTCATATATTTTTCTGTACAAAAGTTTTGTCATAAACAATCAATGCTTCATACTGTTAGTTTATATTAGATTTTAGTATTTCTTTAGATCTAACTCTTCTTCATTATTAATATAGGTAATGAAATACAGACTGAACTCATAGCTGCTCTTCTTGTACTTTTCCATGCATAAAATTTGTAGTACTGAAAAATTTTCATTGTTATTAATTGTTTTAAGTGGTAAGCTCTGTCATTTCTAATGATAAATTTCAGAGTCAAGCCACTCTTTTAAATATACAGTGTATGATTCATTTGCAAATTAAGTAAACTATCAACATGGGCTCATAATAGAATGTCAGAAAGTTACAGTGAAACCTCACATGGTAACTCTCTCTTCTAGATAGTGACCTGAAAAGGAATTTAAAACAAGAGGGGGGATAAAGCAATAATATGCTTGGAAAAAAATCATTTGTAGCCAGTTTCTCATTGTTATAAATGATTTTTGTACAAGCAATAATGTAGCTAAGCAGAACAGCTAATCTTTGTGTATGTAACCTGTAGTCCACAGTTTATTTTCAATTTTTTCAGGCAGTGATTAAAAGTTAACTATTAATGGCTGTTTGAAAAGTATTCTGCTGTTCATTGTACTGCCTATACAAAAATTTAAATGAAGTTATTGGAAGATAATTTCTTTTAGCAACATTTCTATTTAGGAAACAGTAAATGAATTTACACAGTTATATCTTGTCAATATTTGATTTACACACTAATGATATTTAAGCATTTTATTCTTCAAGGTATCTTATTATTGTATTATAATTTTTTTAAACAAATACTGGTGTTTGATAAGAAATCATTAGTTCTTCTTAAGATTCTTTTTGAATTTTGAATAATATTTTTTTGCCCTGAAATTTATTTGTAATTGCATTTATGTTTCTAAATTCTCTTCTATATTTAGGCACTTTCATACTCTGAATTCTGTTAAGTGGAATCATATAGACAGGGAGTGGCTTAGGATTACTGTAAGGAGTTGAACCAAGTTGTGAGTGATTTGCTGTTATATATATATATATATATATCTTGCCTGCTCAACAATCATTCACTTATGCATTTTTGTAAATAATCTTTAAGGATTAAATAATTTTTAGAATTTTATATTTTTTCATGAATTTGTTACTTGCACTTGATTTACATATGCTCTCAGAATTTAAATGATATTGTACATTAGTTCGCAGCAACATTAATCATTTATTTGTTTGCATTAAATTTAATTTAAATTAACTTTAAATTTGCTTTTAATTTGCTTTTTATGACTGGAGATGGTTTGTTAAGTTCAAATTTCATTCCTTGCAGCAATGGTGCAAGAGAATTATTTAAAATTAAATTTTGCTTTACTTTATTCTTTATATATATATATATATATATATAAAGACTTGTCTGTATATATATACTGTGTTTTAAATATATTATTCATTTGTATTATATATATCGTATATGTATCGTATATATTGTTCATCTGAGAAACTAATTCTGTGAAGAAACAGCAGTATTGTGCATATTTTAAATCATACACTTTTGAGATAGAGGAATCTGTTTTTTTTTTTCTAATATACTGATAACTTCAGAATGGTAATATAAATGATTGAGAGGTTTCATTTTAATAACAGATTATTTCTTATTTATAATAACATTATTTCTGTCTAAAGAATTTTACTCAGACTTCTCTTAAGTTTTGCACTTGTCATACCTTTCCATTTACCAATATAGTACATAAGTATGATCTGAATGTACTGCTGTATTAATATGCACATATATAGGTCTTCTTCATAAAATATTCCGTGCGCATTTAGGTTTGTGACACGATACATACTTACATATTGGTAAGACTCATCTAACATTATTTATAAATAATACATATATATATCTATATATATATATATATTAATTTAAAGTAAAGTAGAAAGAACAAACGATAAAAGACCTATGTGATAAAAAATTTTGCGCATTGTGCTGCAAAATTAAAGAAATAAAAGAGGAATTCTAGTACGAATGCTAAAAACCTGCTTAAAAACTATGGTTCCGTAAAAACTTTAACATAAGCAAAATTAGTTGCAATGAAATGTGTTAAAAGAGAAAAATACAACATTTGATTATTTACAAGTAAAAATCAACAGTAATAGTAAGCTATATGCTAAATTAATTAAGTATATTTAAAACATAGTAAAAGTATTAACTAATTAATTGAGTTAAAAATAAAATTAAGACGTGGTAAATATATATATAGGAATTGACAAAAAATGAAATAATTGGCTTAGCAATAAATCAGAGTAATATATAGTTTGATTATATTTAAAGTTATGAGGAATGCTTTCTAAGAGCTGGCAACAAGAATTAAAATTCAAAAACTAGATGTAATAGCTCAGCCATTTTCTATTGGTATTTCATTTATTTGTATTTTGTGTATTTGAAGAATGTGTATTTAGTGTTCATTATTGGTCCATTAAAATGTCTTTCTAAATCAAGATGCCCCATAGATTTAACTTCTGCTATCCATATAGCCCCTAGATATATATATATATATAAGATTAAAGAATATGAAGCTCAAAACTACTAACTTTAATTTATCATTTTAATTTTGGCTTTAATTTGGCTACATCCTCTTCCTAGAATCTAAAGTGCATTATTTTGAAATTAATCCAAGGAGATGTTTATATAATATTTCATGTTTATATAATCACGCTGAAGTGTGACAGCTCTTGTCTAATTGTATTAAAGGAACTTTGTAGTATAAATGCTACTGCCACTATTGCACATGTAAAATCTAAAATAAGAAAATAAGTCTAATATGTAAAATATAACATAAGAAAATAAATCTCTAATAAATTACTAATTTAATTAGCAATAGTTCTTTCATTTCTTCTTTAGATTTTTAGATGTCCCCCCTCCTAGCATCTGCAGCATATCAAAATCATTTCTAGATGAAGACAAATGTATGGCTTAAAAATGCTGATGATGTAACTAATGTGAAACCTGAACCAAAACGTTGACGTAGCTAATTCTGAGCTTGAACTCAGAATTTTGAGAAATGAAACCTTTCTCCCTGTAAGCTTTCATATTGGATAGATGTGCATCTTTTGCTTCTAGCTCTCTTGCCATGAAGATGCTGACATGCTGCTTCTCTTCCTGTCGCAACAGTATGAAAATGTAAAATGTTCTTGAATAGGCACAATTAAAGTACCGAGTAAATTGTGGCTACAAATGTCAATTGCAATAAAGTTAAATATTTAATCAGCCTTAACTGCTAAGTTTGCTGTTCATTATGGATTCAGCATTATACGTGCTATGCCATTAATTTTGCAAAGCCATTTTTTACACACACACACACACACACACATATATATATATAAGATTAAAAAAATATGAAACTCAAAATTACTAACATTAATTTATGATTTTATTTTGGTTACATCCCCCATCCTGGAATCTAAAGTGCATTATCTGAAAAATTAATCAAATGAGTCATCTGAAAACTAATCCACTTCATGTTTCTGTAATCACATTGCAGTGTGACAGCTCTTGTCCAATTGAATTAAAGGAACTTTGTACTATAAATACTACTGCAACTATTGTACATCCCATTCCACCCTGCTTCTCTTGCTGCTGGCAACATGTGCTTCTTTCTTTACTTTATTCATTGTTTCAAGGTAAGACGCACGAAACTATATCACACCCATAATGATGTATGATATAGAATGTGTAAAGAAGAATTAAGTGTCAAGAAATAAATTATGCCTTGTTATTTTCCAATTCTTGATTTTTCTTCATTATGCTATCAGGTTCAATGTTTCTTCTAACCTTCTTCGGAAACATACAATGACCTGACTAGAACAGAGAGCTTACTAAAGCTATGTTCACTAATTGTAGTAAGTAGACAGGATACACAACGAAGGGTATACAAAACCCTTTATTTTTTCTCTTTATATACAATGACTTCCGTACTTCGGAATACAATGACCCTCCACTCGGGTCTAACTTAAAAGATATCAAAATAAAACTAAACTCTAATTTAACTTTAGAATAAGATTGGCCTTATAATAACAGGGAAGCGTATGTAGCACAGAGAACTGTGAACACTACAATACGTTTAAAATTTATCAAGAGGATTAAAACCTCTGGCCTGGAAGGCAAAGTGCAACTGAGTAAAACTTCTAAGGTAAGCGGCCTGCTTCGAACTCACGGCTTCCTCTCTTCTGCTTGGCAAAAAGGCCACAACTTAAATACTTGGCGTTCGCCAGACAAACTTTTGCATAAAACTTCTTCACGCTTATAATTCTGGCCGGAAGTAGAAAATAAGAAGTGATAGTAAAGATTTAAAATAAAAATAAACGTTAGTAAAACTTAAGATCCTTACATACTTCCCGCCAGAGTTAATTAGTTTGAAACTGAGGTCTAAAACGACCTTGTTGAAAACTTTTAGCTCTAGAAACTAACGCGAGGCCAATCTTTTACAACATAACTTAGCTAGAAACTAGAAAATTTTAAAAGAAAGAAATTTGTTTTACAATAGCAGCTCCCGGAATATACAACAATCTTTTTTCTTTTTCATCTGTACTGCATCTAAACAGGAGCTTTATTCAAATTCTGGTTCCTTCCAGAGATCTGGAAGGAAAACTAGTTTAATGAAATGTTACAGAATGACATTGCAAAATAACATATAGAATATACTTTTCTTAACATTCTTATTTCATTCATGACTATTTTAATTATCTCTCCCCGTGCTCTCTGACATGTGTTGTAAAAAACACCAAACACGAATGTGTTTCTGTCTATGTGTTCAACACTTCCTCCTACAATCAAAACACTAACGTGTTAAAAATTCAACATACCGAGACCCCTTAACACACCCTAATTTCAACTCTAGACCCTGAGGTTACTATTCTGAAAGTGGCTAACTCTGAAGTGTAGCGTCAGAGAGCCTAATACATTCATTCAACCTTTAACACATATTCACCATGATTTAATCTTTACAGTCACACGAATAACAAATTTTTTAACATTACTTTCACTTTTACCATATCACGGTATTTCTTAAACATTTCAAAATAACAGTTCACATTGTATATAAGAACATATCAACATGCCGTTAATTTTACACATTTGAAAACATACATTAGTAGTACATTGTTAACTTCTATTCTTTTCAAAGCAAGTGCCAATTCTTCTACATTGAAATAATACTACATTTCAAAAGTCTTTCAGACTAAACTTCTTTCTTGTTAGAATGTTTTAAATAAAAT